AACTAAAATAAAATTTAAACTATAATAGATATTAGATAGTGACATTAGTTTATTAATAATATTTGTTTGTTTATATACAAACTGTAGTTGTTATGTAACTACACATTTCCCTAGAAACGAGTGTTGTTGAAATCATCAGGAAATAAGTCATTTCTATTACTAAACTATTTTCGGTTATAAAGTAATATTTTATCAAATGTTAATTTGTTTTATAATTAATTATTTTACCATACTTCAATTTGTTTTATAATTATTTATTTTATCGTATTTTAATCTGTTTTATATTAAATATCAAATATGATGAATTCAGATATTTCCAATGAAGATACTAAGTCTTACCCMAATTTAAAACCTGTATGGATAGACGAGTAAGTACTTTTTACAGCTACATAATAATTTAATCAGTTAGTCCAATTGTTAACACCACTGAAGACATTATACTGTGCATTAAACCTATTGTTGAGTACAATTTTGATATCTGGTTTTGATATCATAATACCAGTCTTGTCATTTGGAAAAGGTTCATTGGATATATTGAGGTTCGCTAGCTACCTCTTAAACATTGATAAAAGTTTGAGGAATCTAACTTTATGATTTCTTTCCTTTTATGRTACATTTAAACTTACTTTCTATAGCTGACCAGTAGTAGACATGTAAAATGTAACTAACAAAATGTTTCATCAAAATGTACTCAATGAAAAAATTAACTCTCCTAATTTACCATCCCAATATCTCATCYCGTGAACGCAATAAACGATCATTCACGAACGCGTTCTATCTAAGCACCAAATATAATACATACTTATTGTTATTTTTGACCGAATGATCAATACATTATTTTAACATAAGTGTGATATAGAAATACCAATAATTTATCTATATTATAATTATAATTTTACAGTAACGATTCGTACTCTCCAACAATAGAACTCGAGAAGAAGTTAGAAAGTATTAAAAAAAAATATAATGAATTAAATTATGAGCACTTGGAGCTTAAAAATTATTGTGAATCGATGGAAACTGAGTTAAAAGCAATGAAAGAGGAGAAGTTAAAATTAGAAACTTTATGTGAAGTAAGTTGGAGTTAGTTATAAAACAAACGGATGTGTCGATTCTGAGCAAAAATAACCTAAGGAATTGCTTARGAATTTCTTAATAATATATTATATTTTATAATTGTTACCATAACTAAGCTTAATGATTATTTTTAATTTTAGAAAAATACTGCACAAATACCCAACTATAGACTAAAAATCGTAGAATTGAATAAAATGAACAAAGAATTAAAATCGGAAAAAAAAGAACTAGAAATGAACATAGATAACTATAAATCAAAACGTAATGGAGTTGATCAACAACTAAAAGACGCTATACATGAAAATTTTACTTTAAGGGTAATTTTACAGAAAAAAAGTTAATTGAATGTCAATGATAATGAGTATACAAATTAAATTATTTTAGATGAACAACAAAAAATTGTTACAAGAAAAAAAAGCTTGTGAAGATGGAAAATTGAAAAATATTAAGGATAAAGATATTTTAAAATCGGAAAATGAAAAGACAAAGGCTATAATTAACGATCTCAAAGTGATTTTAAAGCAATTTAGTATTAAAAATTAATAATAATACAACCTAATATATAAAATATAATACATAATTTATTTTAGATCGAAATCTTAGCGTACAAGTCACAAATATCATTGCATAATGAACAGTTACAAGCCAAAGATATAATTTGTAGTAGACTAATTTTGGATAATAAAATAAAAGATACTAATATCAAACAATATCTGGTGAATAATTTATTACATGTCATACCTAATATTAATATACCTACTATAATGTTTGAAAAATAAATTAAACATACTTATTATTACTGTGTACTGATTAAAAGGAGGAAAATAAGAAACATCAAAAATATGTTGCTGTTACCAATAAAAAATATTTTGATACTCAAAGAAAATGTCGAAAATCGATAAATGAATATGCAGGCCTACAGAAAGAAAACTTGCGTCTAAAAGGAGAGATTGTGCGTTATTTTTTTATTTTATTACATTAATAATTTTTAGGTACCTATTGTGTTAAGATATTAAAAACTGGATGATATTTTTTATAGGTGACAAACACAGCATTTATAGAAGAAATTCAATCATTGAAATCGAGACATCGGAATACTATAAGACAATTAAGAAAAGTGGAATCTTTGGTGCGAAGACAAGAATTACAAATTCTAAGCCAACAAAACAAAATTGTAACTAAAATATGAATAACTGAAGTTGATTTCATATTATATCTTATTAAACATTTTTGTATTTTAGGCAGAAGTTGAGAGACTAAAAGTTAGATATATTTATACCGGGAAAGACATTACTGAATATAAAAAAGAAATACAACAATGGAAGGATAAATATACAGATTTGAGGTTACAATTTGATAATCTTGATTGTCCTTTCGTAAGCTGCATTATTGTTATAAATATACATTTTTAAATTACAATAAATATTAATAAATAAAATAACATACATAATAATAAAGTATAACATTATAAGTGAAGACTTCTAGCTTTAAGTTCAGAGTACCTTAATTATGTAGAATCAATCACCTACAAGCTCTATCCTCAAACTCCCTTGGCACCACTATACCTATCAGTTGTTTCTACTTAAAATTGTATTATTATTATTAAATATTATTAAAACGTAAAAATTAATTAATAATATGTCGAATCCATAATACGATTGATACGTTTTATTTAAAATTAATGTTTTAAATGATAATATACCTAAGTAAAGAATGTTCGGTGACCGATTTCAAAAGTTTTAATTTCAGTGTATCACACAACCCGTCAAATGCGATCGCCTGTATTAGTAGTTGTTTTTATTAGGATTAAATAATTTAAATATTCTTTGTATAATTAGCTCTAAAATGTCATCCCCCGCTTAGTTTTCATCTTGTTTTCACTCTACGCCCACAAAATGTACCAATTAGATCCAACATATTGCAAGAAATTTATAATAAGCAGATAAATAATTAATGATAGAATTTATGTATAATAGATACATATTTTATATTCTACACCCATATTTCAGTGACAGTTAAAATTTTTTTTAAAGTTAGTTAATTTTATAAATGTACAAGTTATATAATATTAAAATGTTATATATTTATGTTTACTAATGCAAATATTATTATTTATTTTACTTCGCAGTTTCAATCAAAATACGGTAAAAACGACGTACCCAATGAGTCAATATGCGGTAAATRTTAACCTCATTTTTAACTTAACTCTATATACCATTATACTTAGATCATTAAGAATGGGATCTGTACAAACATATTTTATATTATGATTACCTGTAATAACATTATATTTCATATTTTCATCACATAAATTTAATTTCTCTTATTTTTTWAAATTGTTTTTCTTTGATTTAGTTATTAAATACTAATACTCTTGTTATAGGTTTTTTAAATTTTTTTTAATATTCATACTATGGATAAAAAAAGGTCCCATTTGAGCGATAGATTTTTCAAGGTGTACTTAGGTACCAATTTTTTTTTTAGTCTTATTGGCCTTCTATAGTTGCTATACAATTTCCAAACGGGCTGATAGTGTATGACTAATGTAAACAATATAATGTTAAAATATAATATAATCAAAATCAAAATCCGTATAGATAATTATTATTTATTATATATCCATCTATGTATATTGTATATGTATATTATTGGTATACCTAACCTACATGGGCTGCATGACAAAGTCTATATTATCCAACATCCAGCTTTAAATTTTGAACTCATCAAAATGGGTATATTTTAATATTATAAACTTTCAACCATCATGCATGTGCTAAACGTATGTACACAAAATACATGTATATAGAGTATATAGGTACTATAACGAAGAAAAATTGTTTTGTTTTCAATTTTGGCACACTAATTTAAAAACTAAAATGAGGCATTGTATATTTTGTAAAGAACAAATTCACAAAATGTTACCAACTTGTAATTTTAAAGTGTTTCACAATATTATTTGAAACCAACCCATGCTCTATATATACTATAAATTACCAATTGTTATGACATCGTAAGTTTAGTTAATAATGCTAAGCCTCCTCGCTTAATATGCTGTAATTATCTTTTCCATAAGCAATACCATTTATTTTTATTTAATTTAATTGATACTTTATAATTATAATTTAAACTCATCACCATTATTATATATTCTGGTATTGTTAACTATATCTCTTTCTGTACTGTTATTGAGACTTAATAAATAAATATCGTGATTTTTGAACTGAACGTGTTTTAAAAATTATTTTTACAGATGTATTGAATGAAAAACATTATATAAGTAGAATACATGTTTTAGAACTCAAGATAAAAACGTACCTACACATTTTATTACTAGATACGCCATAAATTACAAGTAACCCTTATAACATGCTAAATCTTTATGTTTAATAGATTATATGAACAAATAGAGGCTTTAAAAAATAAAGATAGATTACAATACCAGAGAGCTATGAATCAGTGTTCGTACGATCGTAAAAAGGCTGAAGCAACAATTAAAGAATTAAAAAAAGTAACCAATCCATTTAAAATTCAACTAGCTAATAGAGATGCAACGATTTCGACTTTAGACAAGCAACTTCGAATACAAAGTGTAAGAACATAAAACAGTTACAATATAATAAAAAGCCTTATGATAAAATAATTTAATGTTTTTTCTTATAGACAATAATCAATAACAATGATAAAAATGAACTTGGAATACAATCCACAGTTTTT